GGCCCCTAGAGCCGGGGGAAAAATGGCCAAAAAAATTTTTTTTTTTTTGGGGGAAAAAAAAAAAAAGCCCCCAAAATTGGGGGGGTTTTTTTGGGGGGGGAGGAACGGGTCCCCCTTCTAAAAGGGGGGGGGGGTCAAAGGTTAAAAAGTTCCGCCCACCCAAAAAAGGGGTCCCCCCCCCCCCCCCCCCCCCCTGTGTGTGCAGGTGATCGAGAGTCGTAAGGACAATGAGAGGAACAACAACTACACCAGCCTCTCGGAGACCAGCGGAAAGATGAGGAGGAAGAGGCTCCAAAAGATGCGGCAGCTGGAGGACGGAGACGTGACCTTCTTCGAGGCGGTGCTGGTCTGGCTGGGCAAGGTCGGCATAGTGGTGAGTGGGTTTATGTTTATATGAGTGTCTGCAGTGGCGCCGGGTGATTCGGGCACACGGCAGTAGCGGCTATGTTGATGTGGCTGGGCTAGGTCGGCGTAGTGGCGAGGAGTAAAGTAGGTTTACAAGGAAGCGAGCGTGTCGTAGGCGGGAGTGATTCTGGCACAGCAGTGTAGCGGCCACGTATGCGGCTTGGGGCTGGGCATGTTCGGCAGGCAGTTTACAAGGTCTACTTTTTAGTGGTGAGTCTCAAGCTGGCTCGGGTGACTCGCGCACGGCAGTAGCGGCTGCGGTTTGAGAGAGGGTCGGGACATCGCCAGCAGCACTCTCTGGAGTCCGGTCTTCTCTTATCTATGTCCCATCGCGGGGACAGGCCACCTTGTTGTATGAGCGACCTTGATCGATCTCAGGTGCCTGTGCCAATAATGAAAGAAGGTTCTCAATCAACAGCACAGCACGGCACAGCCAAATGTATAGGTCGACTTTCCTTTCCCGCCTGAGCCTGTCTCAATTAGTCCCCCTGTGTCGTGTGCACTGCTGCATGACATTGAAGCTTGTCGGTTGCGCTTTGCAGCGCTCTTTTTTTGTCGGAAAAACACAAAGGACACACAACACATAAAAAGCCAGGAACCCCAACGCTAGTTACCAGTCGTCCTTGTGACTCACTTCACTCAGCGTGGCGGCGTACGCCGCAGCACCCTTGCAGGATGGTAGTGAGACATGATCTCTTGGTTTTTGTTTTGTTTTTACTCCGTGTGCCTCTACTCGGCAAGGCTTGCAGGATGGTATTGAAAATATGCAAGATGGCACTGAATTATGACTTTATTTTGGTATTGAAGTACTGTATGCAGGATGGCACTGAATTGTGACTTTATTATGGTATTGAAGTATGCACGATGGTACTGAATTATGTTGTCTTGGTTTTTGTTTTGTTTTTACTCCGTGTGCCTCTACTCGGCAAGGCTTGCAGGATGGTACTGAAAATATCCACGATGGTACTGAACTATTTACCTCTTGGTTTTTGTTTTGACTTGCGTGTGCGTCTTTTGGGCAAAGGTGGAGGACGATGAGGTCAACGGCCGCATCCACCAGAACGTCCAAGGCAACGTGAGTGGCGATACGAAACAATCAGTCCCCTTATTGTTGGTGTTGTTGTTGTCGTTTTTGCTCTATGTGTTGCTGCTGCTTGTATCTTCCCGTTCGATGAACTATTCCACGGGGGAAATCGTATCGCCAATAGTTTAACAACGTCAAGAGGATATACGACAACGCCGTATCGTCTCTTCCGCTTGCGTGTTGCAACGAACACATTCTTCGGTTCTTAACTTATAAATGGTAGAGCCGCTGCACCTCACTCGGCGAGGTGTTGCGGGGGCCCGTGTTATGCTTCGGCCATCGAAACGACCCCCTCCCCCCCCCCCCGGCAGTGTAGGGATGCGAGGTCAGTGGTGTACCGACGACGGCATGCGTTTACATGGGTACCCATCCCCCCTGTTTCAACAGACCAACGATTTCAATCTCTTGTTGCAGGTCTCTCGTTTCCTGAATCGAATCCTGGGGCTCCGTATCGTGCGGCAGCACGTGCTCTTCGACTACTTCCACAGCGTGCTCGAGGTGATTCGCGGTTCGTTCAGCGTAGGCTTGCGGAGGCTTTCCTTGGTTGTGCTGGTGGCGTTTTTCCTGTTACAGAGGGGTTCCCAGAAAATCCACCTGCACTATTCAAAGTACAGTACTCACAATGACTTGGAAATTCGGTATGTGCCCGCCGAAAACACAGGCACTATACCAAGCATTGGCACTATTCAGCCGCCACCAAACAGGGACCCCCTCCGTACCCCTTTCTACATTGTTGTGGGATGAACACGGCCACCAAGGCCGGGTGCCGCGTCGCATGGTGGTAGATGCGTCAAGACGAAGACGACCCTACCGATAGTATTGTCGGGGACTCCTAGAAATGTCTCGTGGTTTGCTTGCGTGATTGATTGAGGAGCGCCGGGATGTCGCATCGGCTTTGTAGAAGATAAAGGTGCAGGGCGAGCGTGAAACTGGTCATGACCCCTCGTCCCCCACCCGCCTGCCGACACCTTCCCTAATGCATCGGATGTAAGACTGCCGTCATGCGTGGTTCTGTGTGAACCCCGCTCGCTTGCGCTCTGCTTTCGTAACGCCTGTTTTGTTTCATTCGAAGCACCCGTGTCCGCCCGACAAATTTCCAACAAGTAGTGTAATCAACCTGAAAGACTTCAATGACTGCGATCTCGCCCCCCTCCCCCGCTCGTTCGGAACGAACTGCTCTCTGGTACTTTGAGATATTATATACGTAAATATAATAAATGTACCACCTACATATTATGAATGCACCACGTTGTGACGGAGGTTCAACCACCCCCCGCTCCCGAACCCGAATGCGAAGACCGTGTTCATGTAGTCGCGGAATGTCCGTGGTACGAAGAGGAGAGGGAAGTGTACATGACTGAGCTGGGAAAAATACAAGGGACGTACAGGGAGATGTTTGAGGCATGGAATAGAGAGGAGAGGACGGTAGCTGTGCTGGGGAGTAGGAAGTGGTTTGAAAAGGCGGGAAGGGATATCGTTAGGATAGACAGACTCGGGAAGACATTTTTGAGTCACCTTTGGCAAAGTAGGAAGGAACGATTGGCCATCGGTGATCGGTCCTGTGGGAACAATGCTCCGTCCTCTCGAGGACGCGTGGTCAATGGTCTAACCGCTAAGGCATGCAAAACATAAGAGTATGCCCCCGCTCCCGAACCTAGTGCTCCGTCCTCTCGACGAAGTGTGGTCAATGGTCTACTGTAACCGCTAAGGCATGCAATACATGAGTATACGCCCCCCCCCCCCCCCCCCCCCCCCCC